ATTTAAGTTTCTTAAGAGTATTTATAATTTTGACAAATCCTGTGTGGGATCCAGTTGAACTGAATCTGAATCTAAATGTCTTTATTTCATTAAATGCAGTAGATTAAAAGCCACCAGTGCAAAGACAAAGTAGAAAAACATTTTAAACATGAAAAATATGTATATAATCTAAATACATGAACATCAGTGTAAGAGGTAGTCTTGAGAATTTTTTTAAATAAATATAAAAAAAAACGTTTAAAAAGAAAAGTTCTTGTTAGGTTTTAGTTCTTGGCATTGCTTAGTAGCACTGCAGTCAGGTAACCTGATGAATTATCCCCCAGTTTCTAAATCAACTCCTAAATGCCTCATCAGAGAAAAAACGTATTACTATAATGAGGATATTTCTTTTACATAACTGTATTACACCTTTTTATGTTTTTTAAAAATCTCCTAAGAAGCTTTTGGATATATTTTCACAAAGAAATGGAAGTTATTAATCAAAGATGGAGTTAATTTCGGAATGAATGGCTGGCAATATGTGTCCCTTGAGCCCCGTAAAGACATTGGTCTTCAGCTAAAAAGGCTCTGCAGGCTGATTAGAGCATTAATAGAGGGAATGAAGGGAGGTATTGTCCATTAATTGGCTGTAGTCTGGAACTGTTCCTTCTTTCTGTTGTCGCCTCTGGGGAGTCAAGACACTTAAATCTCAGCCAGGCGTCTCTCCTTATCTCTGCAGCCACAGAGCAGTACGCAGCTCTGATGTTCCTGCTGATGGGCTGGAGTCTGCAGCCCAACATGCACCTTCTGCAGAAGCCCTTCATGCTTTTCTGTGGGAACTCCAAGGAAAGTTCTTCTTGTTTTGTCAGGGTTGTATTACAGGAAGCAGGGTTAAAGGGTCATTCTGTTGCTCTAAAACACCTGTGTGGTATATTTTCTGTTGACTCTAAACAGACGAGTGCAGGAATGATTCATCGCTGTTTTATAAAAACTGTTTTGAGCAGAAAAAGATGAGCAGAGGGAAGAACTCATTAGGTTCAGTGTCAGAAATTGTTCCCTGTATTTTTATAATAAGTACAACCAGGCTCGGACTGGGAACGATTTTCAGCCCTGGTATTTTTCCATCTACACCGGCCCACTTATGGACTTCCTTGAATCACAGTCAAACACGTGCATCTCAAATGTGAAACACATTACCAATACACATTGTGGATTAACTGATCTATCTTCAAGCATCACACGACAACCATTACCAAGACTCCTATAATGCAGTTTTACTGGCTTTGGTTATTAACACGGACGTAACAGTGGGTGCCAGATTTTACTGACTCACGTTTTTCAGCCTAAAAAATTTTCATAAACCGC